AAAGATCCTCTGCCTGCTCCCACCAATCTCTGGTGACCCAGGGATTAAACCCAGAAGCACCACCCTACCCTGCCCTGCCTGCTTCCACCAATCTCCAGTGACCCAGGGATTACACCCAGAAATTAATGCTTCTATGGGGTAGAAGCATTAATTTCATTAATACATTGCTAGACCCTGCTGTGGTTAAAAAAAATCGTGGAAATAAGCACGCATGTGAACTCACCTTCTGTGGTAGAGAAAGATATAGAAACTGGGGTGAGATATGATATTTTCCTTTTATTTCTACATTACAAGGCACATAGAAAATGATGATACTTAAACTGTAATCAATATTATGTACATATATGTGCATGTACATTAAAATTATTTTCTTCTATCCTAAAGGATAATGGTTTCAAAATTATTTTGTGTTTGTTTTGGGGTAACACCCTGCTTTACTCAGGGGTTACTCCTGGCTCTGCACTCAGAAATCATACCTAGTGGACTTGGAGGACCATGTGGGATGCCAGGAATCAAATTTGGGTCGTCTGTGTGCAAACTAAGCCCCCGACTCACAGAATTATCTCTCCAGCCAAGTTTAAAAATTCTTAAAAGCCAATTTAAAACCAGAATAAAGCAATCATTATAAACAAAATAATTAGAAAATTCAGATTTGTTTAAGCAAATTGAATTAACCCCAAAATTGTTTAAACAATTTAAAGAAAAAGTGAAGATGCTTGATATGTTGGGACTTTATAAATAGGATAATTTTGCATATATAATTTTAATTCTGGTCAATAAAAATTCTATTATCATTTCAAAAGTTTTTACTTTTGAGTTGAAATGGCTAATTAGCTTAGGTTTTTCTAATAGAATGCAGAGTAATATGAAAAATGATAACCTAAGCATCTTACTAGGTATTTGGTGAAACCCTGTTGGGAGGAAAGGGAGGTGGAACATTGCTATCAAATGTGAAAAGGAAAATGAAGTCAGGATAAATAATACTTGTACTTGGGAGCAACAGGCCTAGATTTTATAATCCTCTTCCTCACTCTTTTTATTGTTTATTTAACCATGCTCTGTTTATTTAACCATGCTCTGCTTTGAATTCCTTATCTACACAGCTGAAATAATACCCCTAGTTACCCTATTAGATTGTTACAAAGATTTATGCATGAGGCATGCTTGGAGCCTTTCCTAGCACAGGGAAGATACTAGAAAAGCTATCAGCCTATAAAAGCTATCAGCCTCAACATCATTAGTTATGGAATTAAGGTCCTTGACTTAAAAAAAAATCTATTTATGCTTGGGGATGTCTCTCAAGAATTGCTAATGGCGTTTGGGCACTTCTGGCAGCCCTTCTCCAACTGAATGGCTAGGGGGAGGTGACACAGTGCTGAGGGCTACCAGGATAAGTCCAGCAGATATCCAGGACTGCCAGGCACCAGCAGGGACATACTTGGTGGTACTATGGGGCCTCCAGGGATATATCTGATGATGTTTGAGGTCATGCAGTGGTGGAACATCCCATATGGTCCCCCGAGCAGTGCCAGGAGTGATTCCTGAGTGCAAAGCCAGGAGTAACCCCTGAGCATGGCCGGGTGTGACCCAAAAAGCAAAAAATCCAGGATTTGGTGTTAAAATGAAACACAAATTGAGGTTAAAAATGTTCATCATGATTTATAATTGATAAATCAGCATTTTAAAAAAATCTGTAAAATGGTGTTTTAGGATTCATGATATTCCATGACATTAGTTTTTATCTTTCTCCTGTAAAAATTGGAATGATGAAGGCCCAGGCCTGAGGCCTAAGTTTTCTTTGCCTACAGAAGTTCTGGAATATGTGTCCCAGGAGTGGGGTTCTAAAATTATGTCCAGCTCATGGCCTCTGCAGCACTGAGGCAGCTCCAGAACGTGACCTTGTACACTGTAAGGGATTTTTGCACATAATATATTAAAATTGTAACCAATTTGAATCTTGACTCATCAGATTACCTGGGGGTCACCTGAATCAGGGACTTGGTCACATTTGCCTGGCACGTACTGTTTTCTTTACTTGCTAGTTTACAATGAGCTCCATTAGATGTATTGAATTACTGGTAAGTAGTGAAAGATATGTCTGTTATTAAGCCTACATCAGGGTAATGGGGTAATGTAAACAAAAATGCTTTTAATTCGGTGAACTACCTTGATGGCTTATACAGCACCAGTATGAAAACTACCTCATATGACACTCCCTACCCATTTTCCATAATTACCACACCATATTGATGGGGTTCAGACAGTAGGCAACAAATCTGTAGCACTGTAGCACTGTCCTTATGTTGTTCATCGATTTGCTCAAGTGGGCACCAGTAACGTCTCCCTTGTGAGACTTGTTACTGTTTTTGCATATTGAATATGCCATGGGGAGCTTGCCAGGCTCTGGTGTGTGGGCAGGATACTCTTGGTAGCTTGCCAGGCTCTCCAAGAGGGCTGGAGGAATCAAACCCAGGTTGGCCGTGTGCAAGGCAAATGCCCTACCCGCTGTGTTATCGCTCCACCCTTAAATCATTGAATTTCCTGTCATTTTACTGAATACCTATACCTTAGAGATTAAAGATACATTTCAACAGTATGTGAGGCCAGAAATGAACACACACAGATTTCAGATTTCTGCATCAGTCTCACTGGAATTACTCAGGATCAGGTGGACAGGGCTAATATTTTCCCTCAGGTAAAAAAAAAAGTTATTGATTGGATGAAATTAAAAGAGGAACAAAATATAAATGTTGCATCTTAACAGATGGTTCATGGGATATGAGTAAGTTTCTGAATGTTGAGTGCCAGCTAAGCAGGCTCAAATATTCATCTTTTGCTAAAAGATGGATCAATATTCGGAAGTCATATGGAAACTTTTATAAGGTTCCTAGAAGTCAAACAAAATTTACAATAATTCTGGAAAAACTGGGAATGTATTGTGATAGGAAACAATATATATATATATATATATATATATATTTCCTCTCGGAGAGCCTGGCAAGCTACTGAGAGTATCCTGCCCACACGGCACAACCTGGCAAGCTACCTCGGCATATTTGATATTCCAAAAACAGTAACAACAAGTAAAAATAATGGGTCTCTTTCCCCTGACCCTGAAAGAGCCTCCAATATGGCAGTTTCATTGGGAAAGACAAGTAAGGAGAGGCTGCTAAAATCTCAGGGCTGGAACTAATGGAGACGTTACTGGCGCCTGCTCGAGTAAATCAATGAACAATGGGATGACAGTGATACAGCCTTTTCACAAGCTTCCTGTGCAGCCCCAGGCTCCCTGCATTGTCTGGAGGGCCTTCCTCTGAGAACCTATTCACACCTTTATGAGGCACAGTGTGTGTGGAGTAAGTCTGTGGGCTCATCTGACCCAGTATTTCACTTTCCTTGCAGAACAGCCTATTTTCAAATTTGAAATAGTACTTTCAAATTTGACTGACGAGTACTTTTTGTTGTACTTTTACTTTGTGCCTTGCTTTATTCTCCTATGTATAGGAATACTTATTCCATATTTATGACTCTCTCTTGTGGCAAAATTCTGAAGCCTTTTGTGTCTTATCCTAGCCCTGATCAGTGTTAGAGCCTCTCTTGTCTTCCAGAAGGGGGCACTGTAGCTCACGCATGAGGTTTAACCACTGTCCATAGATCCCATTCTGCTTCCCAGATAGCTTGGTTTACTGGAGTTACTCTGGCCTTTGTCTTTGGAGTATCGCAGGGAACCCATTGCAAAACAAATGTGATATGTGGGTTTTTTAAAATTTTATTTTTATAAAGTAATTCACAATATTTGATTACATTTCATATTTCAACACCAATTCCACCACCCTTACACCTTCCCACCACCATATTTTGGATGTTTCCATCCCCAAGCCCAACCCCTTCCTCAAAGCATAACTGAAATAAATTTTGAACTTCCTGAAGCATGCAATCACATTTTCAACTGAAGTCATGTGACATCTCAAACTCTACAACTCTGAATAATCAACCATTTAACAAAATATAAACACAGCAGGTTTAACCTGTAACAACATCTTATACAAGGAATTAATAAGGAATATTTTCTACAAGGAATTAAGATAAGAGAAGAGAAAAAGTGCCTACAAACTTCTAAGAGCTAACATTTAATAGTACAATCTGATTCAATAAAATAAAAAATTATAAAATATATACAGTACAATCTGTTAGCGGTATTATACTTTGTAAGTTTGAAAAAGTGTGGCTTATTTTCCTCAAAAATGCATAGGTGAAAGTATTTCTTTAAGAAAATATGTATTCTTAGAAAATATGTATCAATTACTAGAATATTCTATTTATTTATAACTACTCACAGTAACACTGAAGTCAAATCTGCAACAAACTATTTTCCTGTTAGTTGAAAGGACTCTCAGAGCCAAAAATCTGAACAAAAGAATTTACTTCTTTATACTATTTCTTATACTTTCTGTACCACTTACTGTTATACCTTATAGTACTTTTGTCAGTTCTTTAGTCTGTTTTAATAATTTTTCCTCTTTGATTTGTTTCATTAATTTATACATGTATGGATTTCTTTACCCATAGAATCTTTCACCTCTAGAAAGCTCAGACAGCAGAAGAAAAAATCTTGTAAAATAAGGGTAAAAGAGATATCTCAATGAGGTAGAGTGTATGCCTTGCCATGCATGCAGAAAGCCAGCTTCTGGCCAACATGTTTCTTCAAGCATAGCAGGAGGAAGCCCGAGTTGGGAGTAGCTTTTAAGCAACTTCATGTATGACCCCCAAACCAAAACAACAATGTTATATATGAGAACAGACTACTTTTATTGAAATAAAATTTAAAATATGACTATAATATTATCACCACTCTAAAAACTGTGCTACAAATATAGTTTAGGCAGTCAGTGAAGTTAAAAACAATGAGGTAACACTCATTCTCCACATTCATCATCATGTCATCAAAATAAGGGCTGTCTTAGACCTTCCAGCACCTTGGATAGCCTCGAGAATCTTGATTACATGGAACTATAGCAAATAAAAGGTCTAAGAGGAAAGGAGAAGAAGCCTGGGAGGAAATTACAAATGAGTGAACACTTAGCCACATTAACAAAGCTTATAACACCAAAATCATAATCTAGGAAGATCCCCACCAAGCCATCTGGCCTTTGAATATACTGAGGTAATAGTGGGGAGGTAGAGAACAGACTGCAATTATTATTCACTTTGACACTCAGAAGTAGAAAGACATCCTTAGAATTCAGTCCCATATCATCCCTCTCTTTCCAGGATTCTGAACAAACCCCTACAATCCAATTACAATAGTTCCTCACATTCACCTCCCAGTAATGCTTGCCAGAGAGGAAGCTATGAGTTCCCCACGAATGAATATACCTTAAACTGTCTAGATTGTCGGGCGTGTCTTGATGGTTAAGGTTGTATTGCAATTGTCTAAGCTCTTCTAATAGAGGCACACGATAATTGTTTATAATAGGGTCCAGGGTAATATACACTGCAGGAAAAAAATAAGACAATGAAAGCAAAGTTTAATAGTTCTAAAGGGCAATGCCAAAGTATTCTGGCTAATGTTTAACTACCAAACTTCTGAAACAAAACGGTTCTCTACTTCTACCATTGTCAATATTAAGGCACCAACCATTTATTAGTTGCTCATAAAATTGTTGTGCACAATACAATTAGCTTTTATGAGTGAGACAGTCCTAGCTGCTACCATAACATCTTATCACCAGTGAGTTTATAGATTGGGGCAACAGGAAACTTGGACATATCAGCAAGGGCTTCTTGTCTATCTTTAGAACAAGTAATATTTAACAATACAGCTAGAGGAAGAAAAGATTATAATATAGAAAATGCAGGATATCAGTCTCTTGTTTTATTTAAATATATATATATAAACAAGCTCCCGGGAGAGCACAAGGCAGAGTCTCCTACCCTGTGTCTGACTATCCTCGCCAGGGCCCAACAGCTGAAGACTTCCAGGCCCCAACCAAGGCCTTACTGGAGCCACTCTCCACACACTTGGATAAGCCTCAGACATAACCGAACTGGCAGAGGAACCCAGGTGTGTGGGACCCGGGACTGAGATCTCTAAGCCTGCACGGTTTGGGACTGGACCTGTCAGTAGCTAAACAGTTACACCCTCCAACTGCCGTGTAGCCCCAACAAAGGCCAGGATCCAAAGATTATCACAACAAGCTCCCGGGAGAGCACAAGACAGAGTCTCCTACCCTGTGTCTGACTATCCTCGCCAGGGCCCAACAGCTGAAGACTTCCAGGCCCCAACCAAGGCCTTACTGGAGCCACTCTCCACACACTTGGATAAGCCTCAGACATAACCGAACTGGCAGAGGAACCCAGGTGTGTGGGACCCGGGACTGAGATCTCTAAGCCTGCACGGTTTGGGACTGGACCTGTCAGTAGCTAAACAGTTACACCCTCCAACTGCCGTGTAGCCCCAACAAAGGCCAGGATCCAAAGATTATCACAACAAGCTCCCGGGAGAGCACAAGACAGAGTCTCCTACCCTGTGTCTGACTATCCTCGCCAGGGCCCAACAGCTGAAGACTTCCAGGCCCCAACCAAGGCCTTACTGGAGCCACTCTCCACACACTTGGATAAGCCTCAGACATAACCGAACTGGCAGAGGAACCCAGGTGTGTGGGACCCGGGACTGAGATCTCTAAGCCTGCACGGTTTGGGACTGGACCTGTCAGTAGCTAAACAGTTACACCCTCCAACTGCCGTGTAACCCCAACAAAGGCCAGGATCCAAAGATTATCACAACAAGCTCCCGGGAGAGCACAAGACAGAGTCTCCTACCCTGTGTCTGACTATCCTCGCCAGGGCCCAACAGCTGAAGACTTCCAGGCCCCAACCAAGGCCTTACTGGAGCCACTCTCCACACACTTGGATAAGCCTCAGACATAACCGAACTGGCAGAGGAACCCAGGTGTGTGGGACCCGGGACTGAGATCTCTAAGCCTGCACGGTTTGGGACTGGACCTGTCAGTAGCTAAACAGTTACACCCTCCAACTGCCGTGTAACCCCAACAAAGGCCAGGATCCAAAGATTATCACAACAAGCTCCCGGGAGAGCACAAGACAGAGTCTCCTACCCTGTGTCTGACTATCCTCGCCAGGGCCCAACAGCTGAAGACTTCCAGGCCCCAACCAAGGCCTTACTGGAGCCACTCTCCACACACTTGGATAAGCCTCAGACATAACCGAACTGGCAGAGGAACCCAGGTGTGTGGGACCCGGGACTGAGATCTCTAAGCCTGCACGGTTTGGGACTGGACCTGTCAGTAGCTAAACAGTTACACCCTCCAACTGCCGTGTAGCCCCAACAAAGGCCAGGATCCAAAGATTATCACAACAAGCTCCCGGGAGAGCACAAGACAGAGTCTCCTACCCTGTGTCTGACTATCCTCGCCAGGGCCCAACAGCTGAAGACTTCCAGGCCCCAACCAAGGCCTTACTGGAGCCACTCTCCACACACTTGGATAAGCCTCAGACATAACCGAACTGGCAGAGGAACCCAGGTGTGTGGGACCCGGGACTGAGATCTCTAAGCCTGCACGGTTTGGGACTGGACCTGTCAGTAGCTAAACAGTTACACCCTCCAACTGCCGTGTAACCCCAACAAAGGCCAGGATCCAAAGATTATCACAACAAGCTCCCGGGAGAGCACAAGACAGAGTCTCCTACCCTGTGTCTGACTATCCTCGCCAGGGCCCAACAGCTGAAGACTTCCAGGCCCCAACCAAGGCCTTACTGGAGCCACTCTCCACACACTTGGATAAGCCTCAGACATAACCGAACTGGCAGAGGAACCCAGGTGTGTGGGACCCGGGACTGAGATCTCTAAGCCTGCACGGTTTGGGACTGGACCTGTCAGTAGCTAAACAGTTACACCCTCCAACTGCCGTGTAGCCCCAACAAAGGCCAGGATCCAAAGATTATCACAACAAGCTCCCGGGAGAGCACAAGACAGAGTCTCCTACCCTGTGTCTGACTATCCTCGCCAGGGCCCAACAGCTGAAGACTTCCAGGCCCCAACCAAGGCCTTACTGGAGCCACTCTCCACACACTTGGATAAGCCTCAGACATAACCGAACTGGCAGAGGAACCCAGGTGTGTGGGACCCGGGACTGAGATCTCTAAGCCTGCACGGTTTGGGACTGGACCTGTCAGTAGCTAAACAGTTACACCCTCCAACTGCCGTGTAACCCCAACAAAGGCCAGGATCCAAAGATTATCACAACAAGCTCCCGGGAGAGCACAAGACAGAGTCTCCTACCCTGTGTCTGACTATCCTCGCCAGGGCCCAACAGCTGAAGACTTCCAGGCCCCAACCAAGGCCTTACTGGAGCCACTCTCCACACACTTGGATAAGCCTCAGACATAACCGAACTGGCAGAGGAACCCAGGTGTGTGGGACCCGGGACTGAGATCTCTAAGCCTGCACGGTTTGGGACTGGACCTGTCAGTAGCTAAACAGTTACACCCTCCAACTGCCGTGTAACCCCAACAAAGGCCAGGATCCAAAGATTATCACAACAAGCTCCCGGGAGAGCACAAGACAGAGTCTCCTACCCTGTGTCTGACTATCCTCGCCAGGGCCCAACAGCTGAAGACTTCCAGGCCCCAACCAAGGCCTTACTGGAGCCACTCTCCACACACTTGGATAAGCCTCAGACATAACCGAACTGGCAGAGGAACCCAGGTGTGTGGGACCCGGGACTGAGATCTCTAAGCCTGCACGGTTTGGGACTGGACCTGTCAGTAGCTAAACAGTTACACCCTCCAACTGCCGTGTAACCCCAACAAAGGCCAGGATCCAAAGATTATCACAACAAGCTCCCGGGAGAGCACAAGACAGAGTCTCCTACCCTGTGTCTGACTATCCTCGCCAGGGCCCAACAGCTGAAGACTTCCAGGCCCCAACCAAGGCCTTACTGGAGCCACTCTCCACACACTTGGATAAGCCTCAGACATAACCGAACTGGCAGAGGAACCCAGGTGTGTGGGACCCGGGACTGAGATCTCTAAGCCTGCACGGTTTGGGACTGGACCTGTCAGTAGCTAAACAGTTACACCCTCCAACTGCCGTGTAACCCCAACAAAGGCCAGGATCCAAAGATTATCACAACAAGCTCCCGGGAGAGCACAAGACAGAGTCTCCTACCCTGTGTCTGACTATCCTCGCCAGGGCCCAACAGCTGAAGACTTCCAGGCCCCAACCAAGGCCTTACTGGAGCCACTCTCCACACACTTGGATAAGCCTCAGACATAACCGAACTGGCAGAGGAACCCAGGTGTGTGGGACCCGGGACTGAGATCTCTAAGCCTGCACGGTTTGGGACTGGACCTGTCAGTAGCTAAACAGTTACACCCTCCAACTGCCGTGTAACCCCAACAAAGGCCAGGATCCAAAGATTATCACAACAAGCTCCCGGGAGAGCACAAGACAGAGTCTCCTACCCTGTGTCTGACTATCCTCGCCAGGGCCCAACAGCTGAAGACTTCCAGGCCCCAACCAAGGCCTTACTGGAGCCACTCTCCACACACTTGGATAAGCCTCAGACATAACCGAACTGGCAGAGGAACCCAGGTGTGTGGGACCCGGGACTGAGATCTCTAAGCCTGCACGGTTTGGGACTGGACCTGTCAGTAGCTAAACAGTTACACCCTCCAACTGCCGTGTAACCCCAACAAAGGCCAGGATCCAAAGATTATCACAACAAGCTCCCGGGAGAGCACAAGACAGAGTCTCCTACCCTGTGTCTGACTATCCTCGCCAGGGCCCAACAGCTGAAGACTTCCAGGCCCCAACCAAGGCCTTACTGGAGCCACTCTCCACACACTTGGATAAGCCTCAGACATAACCGAACTGGCAGAGGAACCCAGGTGTGTGGGACCCGGGACTGAGATCTCTAAGCCTGCACGGTTTGGGACTGGACCTGTCAGTAGCTAAACAGTTACACCCTCCAACTGCCGTGTAACCCCAACAAAGGCCAGGATCCAAAGATTATCACAACAAGCTCCCGGGAGAGCACAAGACAGAGTCTCCTACCCTGTGTCTGACTATCCTCGCCAGGGCCCAACAGCTGAAGACTTCCAGGCCCCAACCAAGGCCTTACTGGAGCCACTCTCCACACACTTGGATAAGCCTCAGACATAACCGAACTGGCAGAGGAACCCAGGTGTGTGGGACCCGGGACTGAGATCTCTAAGCCTGCACGGTTTGGGACTGGACCTGTCAGTAGCTAAACAGTTACACCCTCCAACTGCCGTGTAACCCCAACAAAGGCCAGGATCCAAAGATTATCACAACAAGCTCCCGGGAGAGCACAAGACAGAGTCTCCTACCCTGTGTCTGACTATCCTCGCCAGGGCCCAACAGCTGAAGACTTCCAGGCCCCAACCAAGGCCTTACTGGAGCCACTCTCCACACACTTGGATAAGCCTCAGACATAACCGAACTGGCAG